AGAACATTTCGTGGGAACCACAAAAGGTTGTTAGAACATTGTTTGGTAGGCCTATAGGCACGCCAAGACGCTTCGCCACTGCTTGAAAGATGCCGCGCACCGAGGGTCCCTCAGGCGAAGGGTCGCTTTCGCGTGCAGCCGAGGGGCCTTCAGGGGCTCCGAAGCGACACGGAGAGCTGGGGGTACCTTTAGGTCGGGCCTGTCCCCCTACAGGGGGATTTTAGACGAAAAATTAAAAATACAAAAAAATACTCCAGAAGGTTATAAAAAAGTCCCCAGACTATTTGTTGCCTATGTTTGACTATCCCCCCTGTAGAGGGACAAGCCCGACTTAAGGGTACCTCGGGCTCGGTGCGGCGCACCCACCTCGTGGAAAGCATCAAGCCGACTAGCTCAACGATCCTGGCTGAGGCTGATCCTGGGCCTGGGAGCCTGGCCAGGATCGGCCAGGTCGTCAGGCGACTCGGAGAGCGGCGGGTTGATACAATGACTTTGCACGGCCTCGGCACGTCCTGCCGGGGCGACGACCAGGAATTGCTCCTTCCGATCGCATGGACTCACAGTGCCTCGAACGGCCCCTGGACACCTGGACCCCTTCGCGCAGAGTCGCTCTCGTGGGCGCAGCCAGCCGGAAGGATTCTGCCCCAGACAGACCAGCACGCCCGCTCCCCATCGTGCCGCCCGCGCGCTCCCCATCGGGCGGCGGTCGCGAGGATCGCCACGCAGGGGGGGCATGGTGCAAGGCCAACCAGGACAGGCGAAGGGGCGGGTGGCGCCGGCGAGGCCGGCAGAGGTAAGGGTCGCCAGCACTGAGCGGCCGAGCGGCAGCAGAGTGACGAGTGCGACGTGCAGCGGCGACGGTGCAGCACGAACGCGGCCGCAAGAAACTCCCGCAAGAAACCCAGCCCTGAAAACTGAAAACCCGCGAGCACGAGATGCAAGTGAGGGGGAACCCAAAGCACGCTGAACGCAGTACCTCCTTCAACGGCCGCAGGAAGTCACCGCGCGGCAACCCGCGCCAAGAAACCCTGGGTACACTGACGAAAAGCAGTCGGCTTCTTGACGCACGTCCCCGCTGTATCCCCCCTCCTCCTGCTCAGCAGCCGACGAGAGGCCCAATTGTTCTCCCCGGCGTCCAATCTCAGCATCTCAGTGCACTGGGAGTTTGGGCGGCAGCGGCACCGCGGGCCCTGCCACTGGGGCCTTCGGCGGAGCACCCTATGGGGCCACGAAACGTGTGAGGGGTGCGCCGACATAGTGGTGGAACTGCACGCGGACCCTGCCACTGGGGCCTTCGGCGGAGCACCCTATGGGGCCACGAAACGTATGAGGGGTGCGCCAAAATTGAAGTTGAACTGCATGCGGACCCTGCTACTAGGGCCTTCGGCGGAGCACCCTATGGGGCCACGAAACGTGTGAGGGGTGCGCCGACATGGGGGTGGAACAGCATGCTGACCCTGCCACTGGGGCTTTGGGTGGAGCACCCTATGGGGCCACGAAATGTGTGAGGGGTGCGCCGAAATGGGGGGGTGGAACTGCGGCGGAGCACCCTGTGGGGCCACGAAACGTGTGAGGGGTGCGCCGAAATTGAGGTGGAACTGCACGCGGACCCTGCCACTGGGGCCTTCGGCGGAGCACCCTAATGGGCAACAAAACGTGCGAGGGGTGCGCCGACATGGGGGTGGAACTGCATGCGGACCCTGCCACCGGGGCCTTGGGTGGAGCACCCTGTGGGGCCACGAAACGTGTAAGGGGTGCGCCGAAGTACAGGTGGAACTGCATGCGGCCCCTGCCACTGGGGCCTTCGGCGGAGCACTTATGGAACTACGAAACGCTGCACTGTGTGGGTGAAACGCAGGGGGAGGGAGGAGGGTGAAGAGGAGGGGGAGGAGGATGCGGGAGGAACGCGGGGCGCTGTCTCTTCAAAACAAGGACCCAGCACCACAGGATGATTGGAACAAATGGAAATACGCTTCAGGGAAACTTCTTGAGTCATGTTCGCGGGCCCCGCGAGCACTTTGTTTTGTTTGTTGACAAGGGCGGCGGGGGTGTATCATATTGCCTGCTGCGCGCAGGGCCAACATCCGTGCAAAAAAAAACAACGTGCACTTCGTGGCTAAAGATGGACGGACCATGCGCGGCCACCCCGCGGTCACGTCGCACTGGTTTTGGACAAGAGCGTCGGGGGTGCTGGTGGCCACCCCGCCGCAATTGTGCACTGGTTTTCGACGAGGACGGTGGAGGCCGACATGTTTCCCGATGGGTGTTGTCACGTGCGCGGGCGCACCTTGCACACTCTGCGCGTACCCCGAAAGTAGCGCGCTTGGAGCGGCTGGAGCATGCGGCACACATGGCGCACATGGAGCACGCGTCGCATCTGGCGCCCCAGGCGCTCGTGGTACGGTTGGGCCCGAATGCGTGCCTGGCGCGCCTGGCACGCGTGGCGCACCTCGCCCCAGCATCGCGCACATGGGCTATGTGTTTGGTCCCCAGTTGCTGTCTATCCATAGACCGCCGCTGCACACGCTGAGGCTCGGTGCTACTGATGTGTTGGGAGGGCGGGTGGGAGTGAGCGAGACAGCTTGCGGGCAGGGAGGGTGCCTTGACCCCTCCCCCTATAACCCCCTCCCCCTGGACCTGGAGGGGGGGTTCGCGAGGGGTTGGGGCGTCCAAGATGGCCTCGGCGAGGAAGGCGAGATCATCGCTTTTCCAAGGTTTTGGCAACAGTTGGGCCTCCTGGGAGGGGGACCCAATTGAGGAGCTCCCCTCCCTCCTTGGATCGATCTCCTCCTAGATGGCCCAAAGATGGTCCCCAAGGCCCCATAGGGTGTTCCAAGAGAGCCTCAAGAGGTGCCACAGGAGGCCCCCAAGGGGCACCCAAGAGGCGCCCAAGGGGCCCCAAGCGGCTCCAAAGAGGCCACCAAGAGACCTCCAAGAGGCCCCAAGGGACCCTCCAGATGCGCCCAAAACGCCCAAACCGCCCCCGAGAAGGCCAAAGTCATTGACTTTGCTAAGGTGTTGGTCACATGGTGGCCTCATGGGGGGGGGAGCACCCTGAATCAGGAGCCCCCCTCATTTGATCGATCTCATCCAAGATGGTCCCAAGATAGCCCCCGAGGCCCCCACGGGTGCCCCAAGAGGGCCCAAAGAGGTGCCCAGGATGCCCCAAGATGCTCCCAAGAGGCATCCAAGAGGCTCCCACGAGACCCCCAAGAGACCCCCAAGCCGACCCCCCGCAGCACGCGTGAGCCCCAGCCGTGGGGGGCCAGCTGGTCGATATGCGATCGCGATCGATCCCCGGCCAGCCCCCAGGCCAGATGGACTCAGCCCCCTCCTCCTCCTCCCCCTCGTCCCTCCTCCTCCCGCCTCCTCCGTCCTCTCTGTCCGTCCTCCTCCTCCTCCTCCTCCTCCTCCTCCTCCTCCTCCTCCTCCTCCTCCTCCTCCTCCTCCTCCTCCTCCTCATCCTCGCTTCTAGGTGCTCCCTTGTTCATGTTCGCATTAGGCGGCCTGGACGCCTCTCGCCACCTTCCTATCTTATCTGAATTACCTCCTGCGCCACCTCCGCCCCCGCCCCCGCCTCCGCCCTCCGCCCTCCGCCCTCCTCCCTCGCGACACCCGTCCCCTGGCCGCCCTCGGGGGGCGCCCCCCCTGCGGGCAGCTCGGGGTGGGCCGAGGCCGTGGCGGCGCGAGGCCCCACGGGAGCTGGAGGCCGCAGCACGGGCCAGCCCCCCCCCCCCCGAAAAAAAAATGCGGCCCGGAGCCCGAAGCCCGATCCTGGCGCCTCGGGCCTCGAAGCCCGCCCTCGGACCTCGAGGCCCGCCCCAGAGGGCCGAGGACCCCCCGAGGTGTCCGAAGCTCGGGCCTCGAGGCCCAGGAGAGCCTCGAGGTGTCCCCCAGAGGCATCGAGCTGAGCACCAGCACCAACACAGGGGGGATGCCTCCACCGGGGGAGGACGATCCTAGAGGTTGGTGGTGGTGGTGGTGGTAGTGCTTCGGGCCCACTGGGGGCCCGAATAGTGCTACAATCACCGAGGTCGGGATCATCTTCCCTCGGCTGAGTGGAGGCACACCGCCGACACTGCTGCTGGTGCCAACCTCTAGACCTCCGACCCCCCTCTTTCTCGAAAGCCCGACCCTCGGCCCAGGCCTCGGGCGTCGTGACTTTTGCACGGCGTGGGTCCCCGGGAGTCTGGGTACCCCTCCCCGAGGGACCGGCTTTCCATCTCGAGCCGTTCTCAGCCCCCGGCCCCGTCTGAGGCTCCCCGGAGGCCGCAAGCGGCCACAGACCTTCCGTCGTGCTGCTCGGTCACGGCGCGAGCATGGCTGGGGAGTCGAGATTCCCTCCCTCGCCTGGAGGCAGTTTTCCTCCAGAATCTGACGGGTTCACTTGCATGGAAGGGGGAGGGGATGGAGGCGTGGCGAAGCCCGAGAGGGAACTGACCTTCACGCAAGCCGGGACTCGGTTGCACGACTTGTCGGCCCAGCACCGCCTACAAAGACGAAGGAGAAGGGGGGGAGAGGATGGAGGGGGGGGGGAATGCCCCTGAGTTCGAATGAAAACGCCAGCTTCTCCCTCCCTCTCGGGGCGATCGAACTGCGCTCGGAAAGGTGGGCACAGACACCGACACCCCCTCCTGCTCGGTTGAACAGGGCTCGCTGTCGGTGGCGGACGCTGTCCGTCCGAGACGGGAGGCCGCCTGCGCAACGGCGGCCGCTGCGAGCTTTGAAGCACCGGTTCGGGCGTCCAGACCCTCGCCTTAAGTCGGGCCTGTGCCCCTACAAGGGGATCTTCGACGAAACATCAAAGATGCCCCAAACATACCCCAAGTGAAGGTCAAGAAATACTCAAACCCCACTATGTTTGGACTATGGTTTGACTATTTTTGGGGTATTTTTTAATTGTTCGTCGAAAGTCCCCCTGTAGGGCGACAGGCCCGACGTGACCCTCGCCTGCCTCCCCACAGGGAGCCGCCCCGCGGCGGCGCGCGGCGGGGGCCCGCCAGGGGCGTGACGCAGGTCAGCGCCCCGAGCCGCAGGTGCGGCGGCAGTGCCCCCGGGCGGCTGGGCCGCTGCCTGCGCGGGGGCCCAGGTTATGTTTGACTACCTACCAAACCACCCCAACCCAACCCGAAGACTCGAATTTCGGGTTGGGGGGGGTACGAGCTTCATGTGTTTTATCAACGTTCCCCGACCCCCCCCCAACTGGAAATGGAGGGCAAATTGGGGCCTTCGGGTTGGGTTGGGGTGGTTTGGTGGGCGGTGAATGTTGCATCCTCGGGGGACCTTGTCTGTCCCGTCGCGGCCCTGTCCGCGTCGAATCCGTGTCGAATCCATGTCGGACGCGTCAGATCCGTGTCGATTCCGTGTCGGATCCGCGTCGAATCCACGCCAGATCCGCGTCGAGTCCGCATCGAGCACGCGTCGGGCCCCCCAAAGGACACCAATTTTGGGGACAGGCGAGGTCCCCCCAAGATGCAACAGAACCCAGGGAGGCACAGGTGAGCAGAGACGAATCCCGGGATTCTCAGCCTCATTTCGTACTTGCTGGATTCCCGCCTTCCCCTCGACTGTCAACAGTTTCCCACACCTCCTGGGAATCGACGGTTAGATGTGTCTGTGTCTGGTGTTCCCTCCTGAGCCTTCTGAGGACAGGGTACGGGCTCGCGGCGGTCGCGCGCCGTGGTGCCGCCAAGCTTTTACGGTTGGCGTCGCAAAGGTAGCGTGCGACACCTATCCGAAAAGCACGCTGTCCCAAAAGGAAGGCTTCCCCCGTGCGCGCTTCTCCCTGCGAGGCGATCCCCCTGCGCGAGGCCCCTGCTGACTGCCTACCAGACCACCCCAAACCCAACCCGAAGGCCCGAACTTCGGGTTGGGGGGGGGGTACGGCGTACGGGTCCCATATGTGTTTTCTCGATGTTCCCCGACCCCCCCCCCCACTGGAAAGGGAGGTCAATTTGAGGCCTTCGGGTTGGGCTGGCTGGGGTGGTTTGGTGGGCGGTGACCCTCTGTGCACGCCATCCCCCTGCCATGCCAGGGCTTCCTCCGCGCACGCCGTCCCCAAGGCGGGGGGGGGGGGGATGGCGCGCGATCGGCAGGCGGCGCCACATCGCACGCTTACCGCTGCGACGCCAACCGTGTGAGGGAGGATATGGGGTCAAGACATGCTCCCGTCGCTTGTGTCTCTAAATCTTTTATTTTTTATAACAGACAAAAGTGTCTCACCAAAAAAACACTAAACAGTACAAACAACAAACAAAAACGGAGGTATCTTGGCAGTGTTCGGCAACTGGTGGCCGTCGCCGGAAACCGGTCCCCGGAAAGGGGTCCAGACCCCTACAGATCCACGACGTCAAAAAACATGACGTCGGGGATCTGGGGGGTGACCTACACAAGGGTCGAGCGGCCCTCGTCGCCGACTGGTGAAAGCCAGACGAGGCCTCGCGGTGGGCACCATAAGGCGTGCCTTCACGACGACAGGAGAAAGAGGAACAGGAGGGGGAAGAACAGGAGGGTCTCTTTCTGCTTCTCCACCTCCTCCGCCTCCCCGATCCCTCTCCCTTATAAACAACTCTTCCCTGTCGCACCCCGAGACGGATCGGTAGGGCGGGCCGGGCGTTTTCCCTGAGACTTCCTCACCATGTATGATCCTGCAGCTTGGAATGTGCAACAGTTTCGCAGATGGAGGGCGGGTCTTTCCCAACATGTGTCTCTCGCATTTGCGACGCGCAAATTCGTCTTTGAAGTTTGCAAGAGTTTCACAGATGGAGGGCGGGCCGTTTTTTTTATATGGCTCTCGCCAGAGCTCCACGTACATTCGTCTCAAAGTTTGCAAGAGCTTCACGGATGGAGGGCGGGATATGTTCAAAAGGTGTCTATCGCCTTAAAGCCGCGCAAATTCGTCTCACTTCGCAGGAGCTTCGCGGATTAGAGCGCTCTCATTGAAACATGTCTCTCACCTTAGCGCTACGCGCGTGTGTCTGAACAGTTTACAACACATTCAATGAGTCTTATGGTTAACGTCTCAGAAATGGTATTGTGGTGCGATGTCGGAATGTCAGGGCGCGACAATCACGTTGATTCGCGGTGTTGATGTCCCAGAGGGTGGTGTTCAGGCACGACTGAGGATCGTCAGGTCGAAACAGTAACGTTCACGCGCGGCGCTGAAGTCCCAGGAGTGGTACCCTGGCACGGTTGACAAGTTTCAGACAGTTTTCTTCCAACGGGGCTCTTCCCGCAGTCAAAAAAACATCCTTATAGGAGCCTGTGAAGGGGGAACTTGGAGGCAGGGTTTATTGCAGCATCGCTGGTGGTTTACACTGGTCCTTTTCCTTCTCCTCCTCCTCCTTCTCCTCCTCCTCTTCCTCCTCCTCCCCCTCCTCCGATTCGCGGATCCATGGTCATGTAGCGAGGGAGGAGGGAGAAGAGAGGAGAGGCGCTGGGCGTGACGGGAGGGGAGACAGGAGGGGAGGGGAGGGGAGGGGAGGTGAGGGGAGGTGAGGGGAGGGGAGGGGAGACAGGAGGGGAGGGGAGGGGAGGGGAGGGGAGATAGGGGAGACAGGGCAGGTGCAGGAGAGGGGATGGGGGAGGCACATGGGGAGGGAAACCGGTGGATGGGGGCAGGGAGGAACGACGGGCAGAGGAGGCCTGGGCACCTGGCCCTCTGCTCTCTCGGGGGGGGGGATCGGGCTCGAAGGACTGGATTGCGCTCCGTAGCCAGAGAGCCTTCTGGACTTGGGCTCGAGGATCGGCATGCGAGATCAAGGCTCTCGAGGATCGAGGCTCGAGGATCGAGGAGGCTCGAGGATAGGAGCTAGAGGATCGAGATCGTTGCATCTGCTTGGCCCTTGGAGACCTGGGGGCGGCCTCCCGGGGCGCCCTCGTGGCCACGGCCGGAGTCGCCCCGAGACTCTGGCCGGAGCATCCCTGGACGTGTCCAGGGGTGGATTTGGCACAAACACCGAAGGAAGGGAGAGTAGAGGAGGTCAGGATAGGGGAACAAAAAGTGGCATAAACATAAAGACTCGGAGGTCCGCGCGGATTTCTCGGATCGGCGCTGGGGCCCCCCAGCGGCGCCTCCGGCGCCGCCCCTGGCGCGCTCCGCGCGCCAGGGGGGGGGGGGTCCAGCGCCGATCCGAGAAATCCGCGCGGACCTCCGAGTTTGTATGCTTATGCCACCTTTTGTTCCCCGATAGGAGTCACCTCCTGGGAGGTCTTCGTAAGATAAGTTCTGGGCTGTACAGGCAGAGTACGGCCCGAGATACAGGGCCATGACACCAAACTGAGCCTGATTGGGCCAGGGGCCCAGCCGGGCTTCGGCGGGACTACGTGGGAGAGCGCGCCAACATGGAGCAGCGATCCGTGGGATCTGGCGCGCGGGCGCCAACTCCCACGGATCGGGGAGGGTACCCGCGAAACGAGAAACCGTGTGCCGCCTGATGTAGCGAGGGAGCGCGTCGATTTCGTACGCATCCTGGACTCATCGCGAATCCACAACGCGCCGTGACCCGTGCTTGCGGTTCCTCGACATCTGCTCTGGCCCCATCTGGGCGCCCTGGACCCTGAAAAATCCCTCGGACCTCCCGGGGGAACATCCTGGCCACGGCCTCGAGCAAGATCTGGCCGAGGCAAGCCTGGATCCTCGATCCAAGAACCCGAACCCTCGATCCCCTGACCAACGAGCTTGGGACCGGTGACTGGAGAGCCCCAGCCGAAGACGTGCAATTCCTTGCACACGTACGACAGGACGCGTTCTTCACCACGCGAACACCTGCTGGTGTTCACCCGCCTGCGCCCTGAGGCCGCCCTCTCGCGCGCATGCAGGCCCGACCACAATACAGGGCAGTTTTTTATACATGGGATTGTTTAAAATATGGATTTTTTAATACATGATGAATCTATGAATAAGTTTATGCATGAACTCATCGTTGTTTTGAATGCTAAATCCCTGCATGTTTAATACATGATGCGCACGCGGAGCATGTATAAATAATGGCTCTGTACCCCGGCCTCGCTCCTCCGGCCCCTGTCTGCGCGGCCTGAGCTTCGGCAAAACCTCAGCAGGCAGGCAGACCCCCGACGCCGGCCCAGGAGATCTCCTGGGCCTGGCCTCCAGGGAGCCACCGCAGCCCCAGAGGTCCCCAGATGCCCGATGCCCTCCGACGCCGATAAAAACGAGAGGGCGGAAAACGACTACCATGGATCCTCCTCCTCTTGCTCCTCCTCCTCCTCCTCCTCCTCCTCTTCCTCCTCCTCGTCATCATCATCATCATCATCATCAGCAGCAGCAGCAGCATCAGCAGCAGCAGCATCATCAGCATCATCATCATCAGCATCATCAGCATCATCATCATCAGCATCATCATCATCATCCGCAGCATCCTCCTCCTCCTCCTCCTCCTCATCATCATCATCATCAGCATCACCATCAGCATCATCATCATCATCATCATCATCAGCAGCAGCATCATCATCAGCAGCACCAGCATCATCATCATCAGCAGCGGCGTCAGCATCATCAGCATTATCATCATGAACAGATCATCATCGTCATCATCATCATCAGCAACATCATCCTTGTTATTATCATCATTATCATCATCATAACCATCATCATCATCATCGTCATCATCATCATCAATATCATCATCGACATCATCATCATCATCATCGTCGTCATCGTTACCATCTTCATCACCATCATCATCACCATCACCATCACCAGCATCATCAGCAGCATCAGCCTCATCATCAGCAGCATCAGCAGCATCATCAGCATCATCAGCAACATCAGTATCATCATCATCATCAGCATCATCCTCCTCCTCATCATCCTCATCATCATCATCATCATCAGCAGCACCAGCATCAGCATCATCATCATCATCAGCAGCAGCATCATCATCAGCAGCACCAGCATCATCATCATCATCAGCAGCATCAGCATCATCAGCATCATCATCAGCATGAACAACATCATCATCGTCATCATCATCATCAGCATCATCATCCTTGTTATTATCATCATTATCATCATCATAACCATCATCATCATCATCATCATCATCGTCATCATC